TAATTTTATGCCATTTTGCATTGGCTTTTTCGAATAGATATGAAGTGGATCCCCAGCTGATAACCTGGAATATAATTTTTTTTGCATTGAATTTTCTGATTATTCCAATACAGTTCGTCAGATCTATGAGAAACATTTGAATACCTGAATTACAAAGACAAAGACAAATAAAAAACTCAACAATTGTTTGTCATCAACGGTACCGTTTAAAAATGAATGCCATCCATGTGTTTTTCTGTGGAAATATGTTGTTACTGCCAGTTCTATAACAATGATAACGTTCAATATTGCCAAAACCTGGAAAAGATTTCATTAGAAGGGAAAAAAGATGTAATTTTGATTTGTTGATACTAACATAAAATATCGCATTCAAATTCCTTATATCAGAGTAGCCGAGACGCACTACCAAAATTATTAGAAAACCAATGAGCACAATAGAAAGTGGTCCAAACCATGCCCATATTGCCTGTGCTATAATATAAGTACAAAGTTTTATATGAAATAATTGTTCTGTATTTTCAGAAAAGTTTTTCCAGTATTTACCAGATGCGTATCGACCATAGTGAATACTTAACAGATTGTAAATGGCCAAAATTATAAATGAAATTCCCGTCAGCTGTGTAAAATTTTCATTTTGAGATTTTAAAATAAAATTAATCAAGTAATTTCCATTTATTAAAATATGTTCAATTATCAAGAAGAAATAATAAAAAATTCTATGAAAAATTAAATATGGAGTAAACAGTTTCTATTTGAAACCAAAGAATACTTACAATGAGCAAAAATATAACAAAAATGTACATGCATCTCAAATTTTTATACCGGTCTTGCACATCGTTATTATTGATATTCTGTTGAACGAAATACTTTGTGGCTTTAGGAAGAAATCATTGTAAAGTCGTTGACAAATAAAAGAGCATGAAAATTGTGTGAGTTCTCGATTTAAATCAATAGTGATTGGATGTCAGTTACAATTGACTTGCAACAATAGCAACTAAACTATATTAAATGCCACAGTTCTGATTGAAATGTTGCTTTTAAACCAATTGAATGAACTCATTTGTTTCTAGTGAATCATATTAAATCATAATGTTGATTCAATTCAGACATTCCGATTTGCTACATTGTGAGCTCGGCTGTTGTATTAACAGCCAGCTATTTATCGCAAGAATGACTGAAAAGATAAGAATGACTCATCGTTATGTAAACGATGCTCTTACGAGCACACTGAAATGAGCGCACTTCTCCTTCATACGTTCGCGTTTAGCGGGGAAAAACGACGATCTGTATGCGAGTGTAAAACGATGTCGGCTCGTGCTACGCTCGCATACAGTTCATAAAAAGTTGGCTGTCAATACATCAGCCGAGCTCACAATGTAGCAAATCGGAATGTCTGATTCAATTTTACTTTTCCGCACACACCGTGTCAAGAGAATACAAAATTGTCGATATTCCGACTAAAATTACCGATTTTCTACTCAAAAATTATTTCAAGAAAATTGAAAAAAAACCAAAAGTATGGAGAAATTCGGGATTACGAATGTACTACTGTGTCCAAAAAGTAAGGTGACATTGCATTTATTTTGAAAATTCTTTATTTATTCTTCCAAATCAATTTCATCGCCTTCAAAGTAATCCCCTCCCGATACAATGCACTTATGCCAACGGATTTTCCAATCTTCGAAACAGTTGAAAAAGTCGACTTCAGGGATGGCCCTCAGCTCCGTCTTCGCTGCGGCTTCAATCTGCTCTATCGTCTCAAAACGGTGTCCCCGGAGCGGTCTTTTGAGCTTGTTGAACAGCCAGAAGTCGCACGGTGCCAAATCAGGTGAATACGGTGGTTGTGGAACGATATGAGTCGAGTTTTTGGCGAAATGTTCACGAAGAATGATCGCATTGTGAGACGATGCATTATCATGGTGCAAAAACCAAGAGTTGTCTTTCCACAATTCCGGCCTCTTTTGGCGGATAGCGTTACGCAAACGACGCATAACACTCAAATAATATTCCTTGTTGACTGTTTGACCCGGGGGAAGGAACTCATAATGCACAACACCCCGATAATCGAAGAAAACAGTCAACATGACCTTGATTTTTGAGCGACTTTGGCGCGGTTTTTTTGGTCTCGGCTCACCTTTGGCACGATATTCGCTCGATTGGTCGGTTGTTTCCGGGTCATAAGCATAGATCCAAGTCTCGTCTCCAGTGATCATGCATTTCGTCTTGTCAATGTAGTCAGAAAGCATTGTTTCACACACGTCAACTCGACACCTTTTTTCCAAAAAATTCAATGATTTCGGTACCAGTCGAGATTTGACACGTTTGAGGCCCAAAACATCCTTCAAAATGGTATTGACTGAGCCTCTCGATATGCCAATATCATCAGCAAGGTCTCTAATCGTTAATCGACGGTTTTCCAACACCAAATCTTTAATTTTTTGGACGTGAGCTTCGTCGGTTGAGGTTGATGGTCGCCCGACACGCTCTTCGTCTTCGACACATTCACGGCCTGCTTGGAACTCACTATACCACTTGTAAACATTTTTTTTCGACATAGCCTCATCACCAAAGGCTTTCTGCACCATCCTCAACGAATCCGCAGCAGAAAATTGATTCCGCAAACAAAATTTAATGCAAATTCTTTGATCAACAAATTTCGACATCGCAAAAAACGAGAAATTCACTTTTAGCAGTCCACAAAACGAAGCGTATCTCAAACACTAATGAATATTTTGACGTGTAATTTGGCAGGGATGTCAAAGACAGTCCTACCAACCTAAAAATAAAAGGATTTTTTCAAATTCCCCAGCGCGCTAAATTTTAAATGCAATGTCACCTTACTTTTTGGACACAGTAGTAATTCTTTTTTTTCTTATTCAGCTTCCCGGAAATGTATAAATTCTGGAGATGACGTTTTTTCTGTAAAATAATCTGGCGACGTGAGTTCAACAATTTACCAAACTTATCAGTTGACCGATATCATGTTTCTAAGAACGAAAATAATGATAAAAAATAAGAAAATGATAGAATATCAGAAGTTTTTAGTGGAAATATGATTTTATTTGTAGTTTTAAATATTGTTCATAAGACTAACGTACGCATGTGGAAATTTGTTGACTGAATGGCCAGCCGACTGATTTCGGACTTTTGGCTGGCTAATAAAAGCGATTATGTGGAACAAAATAAACGACATTGGTCAACTTACAGTGTACCTACCACCGGAAGTACAGAGTATCCATATAAAATCTACGAATCAACGCGATGTAGACAAAAAAAATTCAAAGAAACCGTTACTCACTAACTCATATGAAAGACCCGCACAATCGACTACATTTTTCGTATCGACTCGTTAGACTCGAATGACACATAAGACTCTCGTAAACTTCAGCAGCCTAACAGTTATTCATCAATACATATGTCCGAAATTAGTCGTATGGTTGAAAGAATAGCAAGCCATTCGTGGTTGTTTGCAGCTACATACAATGTTAGTCAATTTATTTCCATACAGTTTCACGATTAAAATATGTTGAACTTTTTGTATCAACCATCGTTGCTACATTCAGAATGAACAATGTCACTTGACTTGACTCATCGGTCATTATTCATTAAGAATATTTACAAAAATAATCCCCAAAAGAATGGTAGGAATGGAAATCACAGCAACAAACAACAGTCTTAAAGCAAGCGATGAAGCAGGTTGTGCAGAATTTTCATCGTAGAAATATAGCGAGAACACCCATCGGACAACCTAAATGATAACGAAAAATGACGAAGGTCAGAAGTATGACGCTTGAATTATAACAAACTTCCAATATGCTTATACTTGAGTTCCAAAGTAAACGCCGCCCAATGCGTTTGAAACGAGCCGCTGTTCGACGATTGAGCTCAACATTAGATCGATTGGTATTTGTGCTTCATATACCGCAACGCCAACTAAAGCGGCAATGATTATCAGCAAAAAATAAATTAATACAGAAAACAATCCTCAAATCTCTAACATAAATTTCATGCAGCACCGTTGAATCGAGTTTATCGAACCGAAATTTACAGTAAAACCAAAAGGAGAATATCCAACTGCTAACCTATATGTAATTTAAAAGAATTTATTAGCTCTACAATTTCAAATCTGAAAATCTAATCAGAAATATTCAACTATTGCATTTACTACAGCAGCCAGAAAAACTAATTTTGCGTAATTTTCCTTAATTTCATCCTCGATCAAATTCCATGAATCTCGCCATTGCAATATGAACATTATGATGGCAAAGTCCACAATCAGAATTAGGTTCAGCCAATTTAATACCTGAGGTGAAAAAAAAAGTTTGAATGAAGAAAAATACAATAACGAAGCAGCAACAACGAAAATTCCAACAAATACGAACGAA